AGGATGTAGATACCAGTGGTAGTTTGGCACGTTTGACATCCTGAACAGATGGTTCCTGCCTCATTCCGTACGCTCGCTCAACAACTAACGAGCAACGACGAGCAGCAACAACGGGCAACAACAACGAGTGCCACAAACAGGTAAACGACAGCATGGGTATGGCCGTACCTCACTACCACATCACAACTTGCACGATGTAATGTCACCTGCAGAAACCGCATCACATTTTGCCTTCCCACCACCTGCATAAATCGAGGCGCCACAGTGGCGTGATTCACTTTCCCTCTCCTCTCAATCCACCAAATCGTGTCATCACTTCCTTAACTGCCTTGGCAGTGAGCGAATGCGAAATGGGGCACAGTGGTTAGGCACTTTGCCTCCTCGGTGAGAATGACAGAGTTGGCGTGCGTTGCATCCTGTTTGCAGTCCCCTACCTCCCAATTGCCATTGACTGTGCGGTAGACAAGTGAGCGTAAGTGAACTGCAAGGGAGGTGATTCCAACTGTTTGGGAGAAATTGACGACGCTCGCAATTCTGGCAGGCAACCTATCTTCGTGCTCCACTCGTATTTGAGAAGTGCAAGGACAAGTGATGCGGACGAAAGTGAATGATGCGAGAGGATTGTCGTCTTATAAGTGATGGGCGACGCAAATGAATGATTGGTAGAATGGACCGCATTTGACTGAACTACACGTGAATGGACGGAACTGTGGAAGAATTGCCCAGAGACGACCAAAGCGTAGGTGATCAGCCATCTCCGATTTGCTTTCAATTGCATTGGAGGGCAGGAAATAAGAAGATACAGGGAAAGAATACAAGGAGCTAGTCTTAAGGCGAGGCATTTCGTAAGACAAATCCAGTGTCTTTGAGTGAGGGTGGAGAATGCTTTCACCGTTGCGGGTGAGGCGAACTACACTAGTACCGCCTGTTGCAATGCCAAGGTGGCATAAGATGATATTGTGTCCAGATTCCCAGTACAATTCCTCTCCCACACCACAAATAAGCCAACAGGATATCCTCATTGTTTACAACCGCTCGTTTAATAACGAATTTGAAATTGAAGCATTTGGCACGGAAGGTGGAAGTGGAGTGCATGATGCTACTTCTATACCTCCTCAGCTAAACATAAGTAGTATGTGGAGGGTGTGCTAAAAATGCAGTGCATTCACAATTCACTTCTTCTTCTTCTTCTTCTTCTTCTTCTTCTTCTTCTTCTTTCGCCCTCCTTTCCTCGTCTTTGCAAATGATGAAGAAGTGTTGAGAAGGAATGCCCTGGTGTCGGTGCTACTTGGCTGCTCTCATCAGGTGCTGGACTACTTCATCTGTTAGTGCGTGACAGCTGAAAAAAAAGAGGAATTCTGCATTGAGGACCTGTCAAGGATGTTAACCCTACAGACTTAAAGGAAATTCCTCGCTGGATACTTGATGCATTCACCTCTGGTTGGGTGGCAGTTCGAATTACGAGGCATTACTTCACGCCTCTGGTGTGCCTCACGATCACCTCCTTTCCATGAAGTGGTGGAAAACTCCAGAAGTTACCAAGTTGAATAAATGGAAGGAGGGAACAGTCAAGTTCACTACACAAAGCGCCAGAGGACGCAAAATTCCTTGATACTTTAGGCAGACCTCTCGTAGGAATGATTAATAGGCACGCATTGCACTACATGTCTGCCAGGTGTTCTTCTTCCTTCTTTCCTCTATTCCTCTGCCACTTTTTGAACTCTCATAGTATAAAATATCCGTTGAATTTATATGGGTGGAGATGAGGGAGGTGTGGGCGAGATTTTCTATCTGACAAAAACGGAATGTCAAGGTTGTAACCGTTCCTATTGGCGGGAGGAGCGATACACGGATAGCTGAACGGGCTGTCCAGAAATGCGTCAAGGTCATGGGGGAAACGAAGGAAAAAACAAGTTTATTTTCTAGAAATGGCGACAATGCATCACCTCATAGAGTATCCTCGGGGCAATAAAGATGCCAAAAGCCTCAGGAAAGGCATTTCTAACGTTCTTTCCATCGGATGTGAGTCACTCTGGAATGGTCGGTGTGAGTTCACCAATCCACCTTCCTTCACTTCCTCTTAATTGGCCCTCCTTCGTATTTTATTTTTATTGTTCTCCTCTTAAAGTAAAAGAATTTCTGATTTACTTCTCTTTTTTCTGCAATCCGAACAACAAGTGCCTTTTTTGGAAAGTAAAAATAAATCACCGAGTTCCTAAATTTACCGCTTTACTTTGAATTTGTTTAAATTAACTACAGTTAAAAAGCACAGGAGAGGTGTCCTTTTCCCCGCATATTCAAAAACAAAAAACAAACAAGTGTGACTTACCTCCAAACAAGTAACTGCAAATGCGGAGCCTCAGTGACACCGAGAGAGGCGGTCAGACGCAGCAACCACAAAAAGTGGGAAATTCAGATTTTTAGAGGGGAAAAGAAAGGGGAGTATTAACTAATCCCCACTCGGAAGCCTGCGGGTTAAGTGTTGGGGCTAATTGTCCAGGCAGCGCACTGCTGATTAATGTCGGCCATGGATGGAAAAGAATGCAGCCCCCCGCCCCCGCCACCTATCGTATCGAGGGTATCGTACGGCGGAGATGAAAAGAAGGCCCTTACATAGCAACGCGGGATTCAGGAATACAAAAGCAGGCCAGGACAATTGGATTTTATTTCTCATCTGTAAAAAAATTAAATTCTTCCGTTATGAAAAGGACTACAAACATTGAGCCAAAGCCACAATCGATCCTCCTTTCAATCCAAGAAGCACCTGCTAGCTGCTGGTTGGATGTCCCAGGACTAGCCACATTCATTTCTGTCTCGCTTTTCTTTCCTAACCGCCTGGGATTCCGCGATTGTCAACGTTTGGAGGGATAGGAGAGGGGAGGAGGGAGAGGATGATGTGCAGGAGTCTGGTGAGATCGTCTTGGATGATCTGCACCGCCTTCTAACTGGTTGACTAGTCCGAGCTTTATCTCAAGGAGGAGCTTTTCCACGTTCAAGTAGTATCGGAGTAGACAGATCTCAGCTAGCGGTGTTGTTTAGCCCTCAGTAAGTGAACGCGTGCGTTTGCAGTCCACCGCACAAAAAAGCAAGCAAAGTCGCATGGGGATGATGCGATGTGAACCTCTCAGAAGTGTGAGTTGGGTAGGGGGTAAAAGGACGGCTTGGGTGTGACCAAGGGACACTTCCCATTTCACAAGTCAGTCAGTTGATAAAACAACGTACAAAGTGCACAGCACTTTTTTATGGATGAATGCAAGAAAGAACGAAATGTCATTTACTGTTAATCCGGGTGGAACGCATTCCTTGAGGGGCCTTCACAAATTATTCACAATTTTTCCGGTCATCAGAGAGGAGCGTGGTAATGATAACGATTGGGATACCTCGACTATCAACATTACTGCCTACTATATGCAGATATGTAGAATGGCTTCTTCGTCTTTTTCATTCAAGAGTTTCTCCCCAATTTAACATTAATTCAGCCTACATGGAGAACCAAGCAAAGTGAGGAGGGCAATGGAAAATCTAAAAGAGATGCATAGGCCCAACTCAGAGTTCATTTTTTGTCTACTTTACAGAATTTAACTACGTAATTGTCAGGGTCTTCAAATGCCGACTACTGTCGGAGTCATTAAGACCACTAAGATGGGCACCTGGAGGCTGCTGAATCAGAGTGAATTTCGATTTTGCCATCAAAAGCATCCGAAAAAACTTCGCGACAGCTAACTTTAAAATGGCAAGTGGTAAACCTACCCCCTTCTGTGTGCCAGTGGAAGTAACACACGGGATAGAGTAAAGAGAGCCCTACATGACTTTTGTCAAGAAGGTAGCATCGCCAACATGCTGACGAAACTATTGAAGAAGCTTCGGTATCACTGCTTCCAATGTCACACGCCAGAGGTCGATCGAGATTTTCTCAGTGAAAGGTCGTCATCTACACAATCCATACTGTCACGGTTCTACCGACAAGTAAACCCGTTTACGCTTCGTCAGGACTGTCGTCGAAACCCATTTCTCCCTTGCCAGTGCAAAACTAGCAATCACCGATCAATACGTGGAAGTTTGTCGAAAATGAAACCTGCAAGGTCCTCAAATCGGACTCCGAATTTGCCAGAACGCTCCTAGATCGATTCAATTGAGGAGCCTTAAGAATACTCAAATGTGGGGACCGATTAAAATCCTGGAGAAGCTTCAGCCAGGAGGTTGAAGTTACAGATTCCACAGTCAGAGGTATCCACTAAATTGGCACCACGCCTGACACTAAGATCCACTATAGCCGTAAAATTATAGATTATTAGGGAAAAAGCAGCAAGTACGCTCTTGGAAGGTGTAGAAATTGAATACACCGACTGTGACGTAAAGGAGCTCTTGTAATCCTCGAACAGCCGTCTTGAATCAACACCAGTGATAAGATTGCCAAATAGGGAAAAAGAGGAAAACCAGAGTAAAGAGTAACCAGCAAAAATCCAAGCTCGTTCAACACTTCAAGGGACTGTAAATGAATCAATCCATCAAATCGACACGTCAAGTTGAACTATTTCCAAATTTGAAAAAGAAGATTAATTTATAGGTGCAATGATTATTTTGAAGCACACTTGGATCTGTACAAATAATTCGGTCGTTTAACCACCCACATACTCTTATCGTCCCTTCTTCCTACTAAATAGTTTATTCACTTTCTTGTTCTTCATTGGAACCGTCTTTAATGACACCTCTGCATTGGGCGCATCTCGTGACATCTTCCTCTTGAGCCCTTTCCTCATCTTCAGCGATTTTATTCGACCACGGGAGATTGAGAGTGAATTATTTCCTACGTCACCTTCAGGAATGGTAGTAGCTGCCAGTACCTCCGCAATTTGAGCCTTCTTCTCAGCGCTCGCTTCACTCGCCCATCCTGTGCGTTGGTGTCGACTGCCAGCGGGAACAGAAATCTCAGCAGTGGAGGGAGCTTTCATATCGTCCACTGACACAAAAGCCTCGCGTTTGGAGGGCTTTCGACGCAGGGATTCCACCGTCTAGTGATGAAATAGGGAACTGGGTAAGTAATGAAACAAGCTCTGACAACGAAAACCTAAACAGAGACTGAGAGAGCCATCGAATGGGACCTTCTATACACCCAAAAGCGGCTAAACTGCTGTAACATTTTGGGAGCTTTTAACTTGAGGCAGAAATAAGCATCATACGACCTAAACTTTTCAATATTTGACAGGGGTGAGATAAACACCAAACCTTCCGGACTTTCATAAATCCACCTTTAATCGCCACACTCAACGATTTGAGCTTGACATATATCCACCTTTTAACGCAAAATGGGGCTTTGTTCGACAGGAAGAGGAGGAATTGTTTCACACACACAGTGGTGCAGTGGGGAATTCAATCCGACCAGCCCCTCCCTAGTCCCGCTTTCCGCCCACCATAGCTGTACCAAAAACAAAAAATGCGGAACCGGGCGACCAATGGGCAGAAAACACGGGCGCTGCCTCTCTTCGTGATGGCCCCAAACAGTGGGCGAAATCACAAGAGGGTACATTGATTAGTGCAAACACGCAAGGAAGAAACGAGGAATAGGAGAGGGCAGGGTCTTGACTAGCAAAGAAGGCGGTAATTTGAAGAGTAGAGAGCAAAATGTCGTGGAAATAAATAGCTTATTCACAGGAATGAGAGACCATTGGCTGAAATCTATTCCGGTGTAGATGCCACTATATTGAGCTGTCAAATGTGGTAAACCTTACCTTGAAGGGCGAAAAGTCTTCTTTTAATTCGTGAGATGCCTAATTAGAGTTGACCTCTAGGAAAAACCAAATAAGTTTGTGAGATTTTCTCTTCTTTTTCCGAACTAATAGTCAATTTTACTTTCATTACCGTGGCAGCCTAGAACGCTCGACGATCTACCTATTGAGTGAAGGAAAGAAGTGAAGAACAAACTAAAAGTCTCTAGAATCCACTGCCATTTGGCGTCGATCCATGCGACATCCATTTGTCTGGCTCCCATTACGACTTTCTGCCGGTTAACCTTGCCATGCTGTGGATTCACCACAACCAAATCAAACCCTGTATTGGCAGTACACCTTGCTACGGCGTGCTTCACCTCATTCAAATGCTAGTGTTTTAAGAAGCACCGGCAGTTTTGAAATCGAGTTAAAACCGGACTCGTCAAGAACACAGACGCAGATCAGGTTCAGTCGACACTTCATGCCATGACGGATGGAAACAAGACGCGGTTGGAGGAGAGGAGTAATATATTGTGCCAATACGGCAAAGCTTTATAAGGCAGGGACATAAACAAGCTCCTTCATGAGTTACGGGTCATCTGTCTTGCAAAAGATGTAAAAAACCAGAAACAAGTAGTCAATCGATAGAGAGCAAAACACAACTCTCCTTTAATAGATCCCCTTTCTGCCTCGGAGAGACAAGGAACAAGCGGCTAGCCTAAAAGGGATTAGTTGAGGGCTTGGCAGGTAATAGTTGACAAGAAAGTGGCATTAACACATATTACGTCGAAATCGGCGATTAGCAAAAAAACGTGATTCACTTGATACTTTTTTCCTCCCTCATTTTCCTTCCCTGCCAATACAATAACCGAACAATACGCCAAAAGACAAGAGGATAGGGGTCTGTTCCACACTTAACGACAATTCCGATTAAAAACACCAAAAGCCTGCAAAGCATCGCCAATTCACTATTCCCGTTTTGCCTCTCAAAACAATCGTTGAGAGAATTCAGTCAATGAAAAAAAAATCCTGAGCCTTGAAAAAGAATGTGGTAATATGCAGTGTGATGGGAGCACCGGAGACAGGGATGAATCAGACGGAGGAAAAAAATTAGGAACGGGATGAAATCGCGGTGGTAAATTTTACCGCAGAGCAAATGACTGCGATTCACTTTCCGTGACTGATTCAGATGTAGTGTTGCTTTAGCAGAGAAGAGGAAGAAGGAAAAAAGGACCTCATAAACTTGGACAGTAAAGGGACAAATTCTTATTCATCAAGTATGACTTGTAATTTGGTAAATCGCTCGTGAAGAAATTGACGAAAATTGGTTTTACAAATTGGATTTGGAAATTACCAAGGAGAGTCTTGAGGAAGAATCTTCGAAAGCTATAGCAGAACATCTTCGATACAGTAACTCCACAACATTTAACTATCCTTCCAAGCGTAAACATTGACCTTTCATAGTTGTGCCCGCATAAAAATCACGCAGCCATGACCTACGAAGAATTCGACAGCAACGATCACATCTCAAAAAAGTGAAGCTCTCAATCCAAAACGAGCTTTTAATTCCCAGAAGTAAACACCACAGTAAGGCAGCTGTTTGAACATACCTTTCCAGCCAGAGCAAAAGATGCTTGAACCTCCTCATGAATCTGCGCCACTGCTACCTCCAGCGCAGCGTCTGCTGCACTTCCAGGCTCCAAAAGTGAAGGCACCTTTGCTGATTCCGGGTCTTGTTGTCCCTGCTGTGCCGCATTGGAAGCTATTAAGAGGTGGTTCTCGATTTCCTTCAAATAAAAGACCACGGAGAATTGGGTGAGGAGGGTGAGGGCAGCGCCCTGACGGCCAGCACGGGCAGTTCGACCAACGCGGTGCATATAAGTTTTTGCATCGAGCGGCACGTCATAATTGATCACCAAACCGACTTGTGGAATGTCTAGACCTCTAAAATGCAAAAGTAGAAGTCATTGATATGCGAATGTTGAAGAGGTGCAAGGTCCTACGTCAACAACTGCTGATTTTATGGACATAAGGCGAGGTAGTTTCTTCGCGCTCCACAAATCGGCTTTGTGGGCGAGTTTTGGACAAGTTGGTTTATTGAACACATTTTTCACTGACAGCATGGCTTTATGATGAACCACAGTGTCCTCTTTTTGTGGGACTGCCTGTTTCTCGTCGCGAGGACAGAGTGAAGATTCCATGAGAGACGCTTCAACGCTAGAAATCAACTGACTGCTCTTGCGCTTAGAACACTAATAACCAATCGTTGGGCACGTGTAGTACGTCCTGCGTCGACCCACACACAGCAAATTGAAAAACTTGAGCGCTTGTTCGAAGTAATGGCCATTCCACAGTCTTTTTGATAGCGAAAAGAACACGCAAAATAATTCGTAAAACGGGAGGATGGCGAAGTAATTCCAGACGTTTTCTGATGAGCGCCTCGGCTATCAATATCCACATATTCGCCGTCATGAACGAAGAGTAGTTTCACCCGGGTAACAAGAAATTAGCAAGGTTATTAACACAGAAGATGTTTTTCCTCGTCAAAGTTATTCCGATAAAAAGTGGCTTTTCCTTGAGATAAAATTTATTTTTATTAACGGGTTTCAGCAGAATCCTACCTGGTAGCGAGATAATATACGACTCGCAGCAAGCAGTTACGTCTTCCGGCTAACCAATATGCCAAATGATTATTCGGCTTTACGCATTTATGGAATGCGAAAGGGAATATATCCAGTTTGCAGTCGAAAGAGCAGGCCTCTCAAGCAAAACACTTTCCAAAAGAAAACATGTCCAAAAAGAGAGGTTCACCAGTCTAGAAAAACTAATGTGTAAAAGTTCAACAGCCCTTCCAAACGAACTCGATTTATCCGGCTGCATTTAGCAATATTGGTAAATTTGACGCCTACACAGTTAGCAGATCATAACCAGACACGTCAGCCGACTCGAAATAAACGAAACCTCCAAGCAGAGCTAAAATATTAGCCAAATCAGATCAGGGAGGATAGCGATCCGCCAAGACAATAACTCATTAACTGATTACCAGTTCCACCATTCAATAACGATTCTATGCATTCTATGCATTATTTTCCATCTAAGTGGTAGAGAACTAACCTGGCTGCAACATCGGTAGCAACAAGGCAGGAGGTGGGCAGTCGTTTAAACTTTCCCAGTGCGCCCAATCGTTGCGCTTGTGGCATATCGCCATTGAGGGTGATTACCGGAGTTGTGAGGAACTGACGCAGAAGAAGACTCAGCTTATTACTCGTCTCTCGCGTCCGCGTAAAAATGATAGCCGAGCCCATTGACTCGCTCCTGTCAAGGTCATTTAAACACGAAATCCTTTACGCATGCCCACATATCCGACGAGTCTTCTTAAAAAAGATAATTCTATCCGACCACACAGAAAACAAACTGTTTCCAAAAATAAGTCACGGATGTACACAAGTCGCTAGCATGCGCACTCCATATGTTCCTCTTCACACAAATCAAATCCATGGTAGTGTAGCTCATAGAAATAAAAAAAAAAAACAATCAAACCTTCTAAGATCCATAAAGAAAAGAAATAAAGAGCCACCATGGTCGAAAAGGGTGCTCAAATTTGATCAATGCATTATACGATTTTTGATCTCGAAACTCTTGATAAGCCGGTCTTTCCACATGGAAATATCTACTTAAATTGTACAAGTAGAAACCTGTATAAAAATGCACCTACCGAGATTCAGCATTGGCGACGTCGATTTCATCCGGAGACAGTTTGATGGCCTCCAAACCGTCGATAGGTGAAGGAAGAGGTGAAAAAGCGGTGCGAACAAGGTATACCAGGTAGGATTCTAGCTCAGCTTGGGGCACCAGAAGGACATACTGACGGAGGCTTTCAACGGTCTGGAACTTACTTTTACGCGTAGAGATTCGCACAGGATCACGCAAGGAAGCTCGTTGCAGCTTGCCGACCTGGTTCAGAGTAAAAAATATTTATTCAAAAGTAAGCCTATCAAGATTTTGAAATCCATATGTGAGTTCATAGAATGCTCCCAATGTGAAAAACGAAAGAAATTGAGATCGAACATTCTTAATTCCAAAACGCCAAGACTGCCCAATAAGAGATTAATCCAAGCTGAAATTATTCACTGAAAGAAAGACCGAATGGCGTTCCCGATTTGGAGGAAAGAGTTTAATCAAAAACCATACAATGATGTACGCTAGTTATTTAGCAAATTATACAGAAAAGGAGTAATTTCAAGGATTTCAGATAACAAAAAAAATAAAATGCAAATGTTAGGGAAAAAAAAGGGAACAATTTTTGGAAAGTCTGAGACAATAAAAAATTTTAGCCAGGTAAAGTATGAACTTGGAGCCTAATCGACTTGAGCTCCAAACGAACAGTAATATACACATATAAAAGCTAGAAAATTTAACCAGCCAAAAAGCAATTTGATATAAAAGGTGGAACTTGCTTTTTCGGTCATGGTGGCAGAAAACAGGAACGTCTGTCGTTTTGGAGGAAGAACAATGAGAACTTTTTCAATAACCGACTCGAAGTCCGACCCAAGCATTCGGTCAGCCTCGTCGATAACCAGAAACCGCAAGTTCTTAAACTTGACCTCATCGAATCCTTTGGTGCGCTTAAGATGGTCCACAAATCTGCCAGGCGTAGCTAAAGTTAAAGGTAAGTTATAAAAATACATGTAAAAACAAGTTTAATAAACTAACCGATTAAAATGTGAGGCGGTTTCATTATCATTAGATTGGCTTGGTCTGTAATAGGCGTTCCTCCGACCAGCAAAACTGTATTTAAACCAATAGACTGACCAAGAGCAACGCACTGCGCCTGAACCTGTGCAGCTAATTCACGAGTTGGTGCCAAAATCAAGGCAAAGTAGTGTTTGGGAGACACCATCAACTCCTACAAATAACGTTATAATACGCGAAGGCTAACCTGTAGTATGGGAAGGATGTAAGCGCCCGTTTTTCCCGAGCCCGTTTCCGCAAGAGCTATAAGGTTGCGCCCTAAGAGTGTCAGATAGCAAAAAGAACGCGCAAACCTTCTAACGCGTGAGGAATGGATGCAGCCTGAATTTCGGTGGGGGATTTCCATCGTAAACGCTGAACTGATAGTAAAATTTGGTCGTTGAGGCCCTAAGGATGTAAAAATAATTACCAATCACTACCAAGTCTTTAAAAGATGATGCATTTTCCAGTGACATTTGCTACGAAGCGAAGGCAAAGTGAAGCAAGAATGACTAGCGAGGCAATGCATTCCAGGAGCGCGCACTGTCGAGAATATGTTTAAACTAAGAAATTTAAAAGAAGCTAAATATACCACCATTAAATAACGCTGACATCTTACTTAACATTTCAAATTTTCGGATATCTAGGTGCCCTTTTTTGCTAGGCGATCATGCAAGGCATGGCATTTATGATGACATAACAAAATAATGTGATTAATAAACGAAGCAAGGCCTGCGATATAAGCCAACTTCATGGCATTTATTAATGGCAAATATAGGCATGTACATTATCCTTAAAAATGAAATTGCTCTGTTGCTTGCACACTTCTTCATTAGCCAATAGCACGTGAAACAGATTTGCCCAAAAGTTATGTAATACGTAATCATATGGTGATCAGCACTTGCTATCTAAATTGGCATTGCTCTGGGTAGGCGACGTTTTACGTAATAATATCCGGCTTTCATTTTGCACTGATTAGGCTTGTGCATGCCACATTGTATATTTATCCATGCTACCGGAATTGTATCTATGTTTCGGCGGAATTTCAACCGGGTGTTTCTTTTGGCCTACGCTGTTGTTCCTATTTCTCCCTCTGTATTTTGCTGACGCACATTCAACCTGCGATTTTTTTCATTTCTGGTTCTTTAAGTTGACTTTAATAATTACACGCTGTCTTCGTATGATTAGATCCTTGTTCAGAGATGCGATCCGTTACCGGAGAACTTTGCTGCTCTTTTGTGCTTGTGCATTTATACTTATACTTTCCCTTCATTTTCCACTGCAACTCACTAAATCAGCTACGAAAAATTTAATCTTGTCGAAGACATACAAAGTTGTGGTATTTAACCGAGTCCCCAAAACCGGTAGTACATCAATTGTTCGCATTTTCGAAACCCTCAGTAAACGAAACGATTTCCGCGTCTACCGAATTGCCATCTTTAATCCTCGTCAATTCCTCAATCCTCTTTCTCACAAGACTCTTGTGGAGGAGGTTAAGGAGATATCGCAGTGCTCCAAACTCCTAGTCCATGGTCACTTTTTCTACATCAATCTTCGCAGGTTCAGTTCCACCATTGACCACGTTTACATAAATTGTTTGCGAAACCCATTGGAGAGGCTCATTTCTAAGTACTATTTCGTGCGTTTTGGTGATGATCATCGACCGAACACTCAACGACGTGGCATGACAAACGATAGCCTTCAAATGCAAACATTTGAAGAATGCGTTGAAGTTGGCGGCAAAGACTGCGCTCCCAAGCTTCTCTGGGTTCAGGTTAGCCCCTCAAATATCTTTTTTAATCCTACTCTGTCCTCATTAGATTCCATTCTTCTGTGGCAATGCGGCGTACTGCAATATTCCTGGAAATCCCGAAGCTCTACAAACTGCAAAGCGGCGACTAGTCGAGGAGTATCTTCTCGTAGGCGTCCTGGAATACTTCAATGAGTTCATGGAACTGCTAGCTTATCTCATACCTGACTATCTCGCCGGAATTGAACAGACGAAGGATGTTAAAATCGGTGACCAACCATTATGGCACCTGCGAAAGACTAGGTCAAAAGCGCCAGTTCAACAAAAAGTTCGTGAGTTTTTTCAAAACGATACCATTTGGAGGATGGAAGATGATTTTTACGAGTTTGCAAAATCTGAATTCCTCAGTCGTTATCAACGCTACAAGTACCCACCTTTTGATCGGGCTAATTGGGGGAAATCAGTTTTCATTCGTGCTAAATGACCCTCAGTAAACAACTCGCTTTCTTTGACAATCCTATTCTTCTTTAAAATGAGTACAAATAAGATTACTTTCGTGTTTTTTTTATCCTCTGAATGCGATTGAAGTGCACCTCCTAACAGAAGACTTTGAATGCTTCTGTCTCACCGTGAAAATCGTGCATTCCAGAGAAGATTGTTTTAGCCGTCCCAAAATGTCGAATTCGGTAGGTTCCAGGCTGGCAGCCTCTGAATGGTGAATTAATTGTCCACTGGATCTCGGATACATGAAACCCGAGTGAAACGCGTTTCCATATGAATCTAGACGGGAGGTGGTATCATAAATCAGAGTTCTTACTTGGTCTCCCAGTCAGCATCAGTGTATACCACCTCCCACTGATGGGGTTTGAGTTGTTTTTCAACAGTGAGGAATGTGGAGTTTGTGCGCAGATCATTCCTAGGATCTCCGGTGACAAAACTTACTTCTACGATACCGTCGGACTAATAAGGGAATAAAAGTTGGCAAATTGATATCCCACCTTGCTGTAGATGGCTTTGGGAGGCTTCCAGATACTGCCGAACTTCCGAAACGGTGGGTGAGCATCGTAGAAGGGTGGAAGAGAGAAACTTGGTAGACGGCTAAGCGGGAAGGGTGGTTGAGGACCGGGTGATAGCAGCTTTTTCTGTATTTTTACGTAAAAAAAGTAAAAAGCGTCAAATCCTTACTGCTTTGTTCAATGTCGGCCAGAGTTTAGCTACCGTTGATACTTAAGGAAGTTAAAGGCAGGTTTAAAAACTGTGATCCAGGTGGTAGATTTCGTCTACATCTAGAGTAAGTCTACATCTAAGCCGATTTTCTAACCTAAAAGGACAAGGATTTTGTGGAGTTTGTCGATGATACTCCCCGATCGAATGAATGCGGTTGAGGACGACTAAGGTGAACTTTAACCGAGGATATAAACAGGCAAATTGGCGAGTCATTTAATGCCCAAGACTTCCCGCTTTCAATTTTTTAGAGGCCAAGTAAATGGCTTTTAAAAAAAGTATGTTTCTACAAAATTTCCTCGGATTCGGGGAATGCCAGGTGTCACAGTTTTCTCGATCTCTGCCTTTTTCGGCTTTTTGGGGAGAAAGCTCCCCAAAATAGTGAAATATTATTACGAGATAGTGGTTTTACATTATCTGGAATGAATTAGCAAACTACGGTGGTCATTTTGAGAAGTTCTGTCTTATTTGAGACAAATCAGGGATAATGCGACATGAGCCATAGGTAAGAATCTGACTTTAAATTTACAAATCGACGAATTTGTGCCGCTTTTAAAATTGTCTTTGTTGCTTTTTATGCACATTTGGTACATTCTGAAGCCCATCTGTCATGAAATCCCTTCAGATTACTCCTCCCAGCACCGTGACTTGTAGTGGTCTTCAATGCTGACTTTTTAAAGGGACAGAGAGAAGCTTTCGACTCCACTATAGCAATATCTTGTAAAGGCATTTATCAACATAACTGGCAAATCTCAGCCCTTATTTCTGTTGAACGGTTGAGCCTAAATTATAAGGTGGGTAGCACTATAACATTCACGACTTCAACTGCACTTCATCTGGCTTCTTTTAAAAAAGGTGAAATCAAATTAACATGCAAAATGATGATTTTTGAAACTCAAAAAGACCTAGATAAGGCGAAGGACGTCTAATCCCTTATTTACAACAAACCCTTCGAGAGTAATATGGCAGTTATATACAATAAATCTACCACAAATGCTGACCCCTTTCCATTGCTCAATTTCGATTCTATGGCTTTGAAGACCCACCTAATTGAGAAAAAAAATTGTCGGTACAACTCAGGCTATAATCCTCTTGATTTTGTCTACTACTTTCAGTCAACTTCAATCCTGCACTGATGTAGTATCTGTGATGGATTTTTATCCTACTATTTGCCCCATGTGTTTCAAATGTCCTTAACTGATTTAAGGACAGTGTTTTGACCTAATCCAGAGGATAGAATAGCCTTATTGGTAACGCATGGGTTGTCCCTATTTAAAAGGCTGGTTAGATATTGCTGAGGGGCCCAAATGTGTACCAGCAAAACAGATAGTTAGTACTGCTTCAATGATGAAATTGGGAAAGAGCTGCAAAATACTGTCCTTTCTTCACGAGACACGATCGTACTACTTCCACTTTTGTCTAGAGACAACCAACCTAGTCCTGCAACCTCACTGTTAGTTCCATCTCTTATAGTGATCATTTGGTGGCAAGAAAAGGTGATAAGCAACACCTAGGGGAGAATAGAGGGAGTACCGTGGATGAGGTGAGACACTGGCCCCTCTCCTATCTAGATAAATTTTTCAGTAGCAATGAATTGAAGGCTACCTTCACCGATAAACAACATCTAGTTGCTTATTTCGAAAAAGCGTTCTGAGGAATTTCTACAGCCTTGAAACCAAAGGAGACTTGACTTGCAAAGCAGACAAACACAAACTGCATCTACTGGATGACTACAAGTTCAAGGAAGCCATTCCAATGATGCGTAGGGGGTTGCCTCAAAGGCTTTTTCTTTCGCTGCCAGATATAATTTGTCAGATATGAAATACATGATGCCTTTTTGTTTGCATATTTTGTTCCGGATTACAGGCCTAAATAAGACTTGAATCGCCTCACTTTCTCGATACTACAACTAAAACAAAAAGGACCAAAACGTCCCAGAAACTTTTTGCCTCATATAATTATATTGAAGGAAAGGTATGCCACTCTCACGGACATTCAATGCACGAATGCTTCTATAGGATTGTCAAGTTGTCAAATTTCTAGGGCTCAAATTTTGCCGATCGTATACTTCTTAATGGTGAAAAAACCAAGTCTCTGGAAGAACATCTTGTAAACGCGGGAAATATTGCGTCTTTAAGTGTCAGGGTAGCGAATAGGGAGTCAAACCCCTTGAGTTTTAAATGCAACGTAAACGGGCATTCGCTTACGTACGTTAATCATGGCTTCGGTGAGCTTTACGAACTGTTCCACATAGGCCTGTAGCGTGTGGGGACCAAATATGGTTGAGGCTCCTTCGTATCGTTGAATCTAAAGAGGGTATTCTTTAAATAAAGGAAGCCAAAGAGATAAAAAGTGGCAAAAAGTAGAAGTAGAAGACCATATTAGGAATTAACGAAAAATGGAGTTAAAAATGAAGAAAAAATAGGTGAAAAATTGAAGGTGAGAAGGACACGTGAAGAGGAGGGGTAGTAAAGGGATTTAGGAAAACTGAATATAGCAAAGAGGAATAAGTTAATTAAAGATTATGAATAGGTGAAAATATGGATGAATAGGTGAGTAGATGAAACTAGGGACATGAGGAGGTGATGGATAAATTGGTGGATCAATGTATGAATCAAAAGCATATGGTTGGATCAGATGTGGGGGAACAAGTCTGGATCCTAAGTGAAGATAATGAAGGCAGTGAAATAAACTTATGTTTGTTGGCAAGCACAGACCCTTCAGCCGTGGAGGTTTTTACCTCTGTCTTGGTGTTTACACCTTTTCAACGCTTCGGTACTACAGCAAGTTGACTTACCTGATACTCTTCAAACGTTGTCACATAGTGTGTGTAGAGATTTGAGAGGCCTGCAAGAGCAATGATTGAGCCTTTGGGAAGAACCTTAGAGGAATAAAAAAGGGGGATTAAAAAGTTCGACATCAGCAAGCAGAGAAAGAGCAGTAGAAAGGTGGATATTGAGACCGTATTTTTAAGTCACCGTCAGGAGCCTACCCGCCAAATGTCAACACATTGTCAAAGGACAAAAACGGCAATGGACTGAGTAAATGAGAAACGTGCCAAGTGAAATGTGAATTGACAGAATAGAATGACCTGACCGACTTAGAATTAATTATTTTTTGCTCAGAATGCAAGAAAAGTACACCAAGGTCATAGCTTTAGAAAATAACTCTTGAAATTTTGCATTTTTAAGATGTAAACAATTGCTTCGTCTTTTCAAAATGTGCACTTTACCTTGGAACTGAGTGTGACAAGGGGCTGTAATGTGATCTCCAAGACTTCCTTTAAACTAGAGATGCACAAAGAAGCGATGGCAAAGAAGTCAAAGTGCAAATAGGGTGAGAAAAAGGTTGACAAGGTCAGAGGCGATCCCATCAGTGGAAAAGAGGATAGTGGGTTCACAGCCACACGAAATGGTAGGGTTGTGAAAGCAACTGAGCAAGTGATTCTCAACTGCTTTTCAATTTGTTCGTCACATCCTTCACTGTTGAAGAAGGAGTGTTCACCGATCGACCAACCAACCGACTGGTTCGTGATGATGAATGTCTTTTGTACTCCGGCCTTCGTTAAACGCGCAGGCACATTGATGTGCAGCCCCCAAAACAAACCCTACACTCACCGCTTAGACCTCATTCCTCACTTCCGGGTCACGCATTACTTCATTCGCTGAAGTTTGCGCTTGCTTTGCGGATGTATTTGTCCGTTTTTTGAATTACAGAAGTTCTTGTTATTTAGCGAAATACGCCCATTGCTGAAGGCTAAATAGCTGAGTAAGTTGACGTCTCGATACCATTCGGAAGGTGGTGTGTGAAGCTACCTTATTTTCCTTTTTTCTCTGCTCTAGAAACAGGAAGAGCTGACAACCCAATGGACAGAGAAGGCTAGTCAAACACAATCCTTCCCGACCTTATACCGCAGAACGTATCTATGGGTGGTCCCCATACCGCACTTCAGGGTGAGAAAGAGTGACAAGAATACTGTCCCATCCTCATACTCATCCTTCCCATTCTCCAAAATGCTGATTTTTTATCATTCTTTGACAAATATGTATGTAAATAAAAATAAAACAGGCCCTCAGGTAGCTAGGCCTGGCCAGACGAAAGGAAAAGAATACTCTATCCTCTGTATTTCTTGAGGTCATTTCTCCTAAATGTTATCCCCTTTCCCTTGAATAAGAAAACCGCATGTTTCATGAAGACAGAATTTTTGACCAACAAAAGAGCAAATCCACGTAGACTTTATCCCAAGTTACTCAGCTCTCCTCCATTTCCCCCCCCCCTCCCCCCAATGTTCCCCCTACGCCGTCTGTGCTACCAGTCTTCCCCGCCTCGTCTGGAGGCAAATTTTTGTATCGCCTTGGATGGCTACTCAAGGAGTAAGTCTGTGACAGTTTAGCAGAATAAACTATCGAAGGTCTTAGCTTCTTGTGAAGAATGTAACCTCTTTCAAGGAAACTTCGGGAAAAATAGAACGTGTCTATTTATTTCTGCTCGACAGAGAGTGGTTGTCGACCGTCAGATCTGTAAATATTCAAGGCTTAACGATGATGAAAATCGGGATCGAATTTATTAGTTTAAAAGAGTCTTTTAAAGGAAAGTGACTAGCATGAATGCTGAGAGTGATGAAGATGCATCTAGTAAACTATGCACCTTTATGCCTGGAGAAATTGTGAATGGCTGAGGTGAACAAGGGGGTCATTCGGGGCAGAGGAATTGCAATTAGACGGTAGCCTTAAGGAATTAAATGGGCTCCACTGTGGAAAAAGCCTTTCTAAGCCAAGAAACCGCCATTCGACCACCGATGCTTCTTCCTAAATAGTGTTTAGTGAAGTGACTGATGAACATCGTATCTCATAGCCACCACAGGTTTCGGTATAAATCAGCTCTGAGCAGTGCAGTCGTCTAATCCATCTCTACATCTTGCAGCGCTCCTAGGAAGTATTTGGGGTGTGGGGTAAAAATAAATCAAGTTACTTTCTATCGGCGGCTCACCTGAGACAGAGCACGAACCACCCGACGTCCAGCCATCGTGGTGAATTCGCCCGGTAGTCCGACAATTATTAGTTCACCGATTTGAAAGACCTGTGTCTCCACGATACTGGGATGCCAAGGTAGGGGGTAGTTCATCTGCAAGAAATGGTAAAGAATTAAAATGAAGGAAAATATAGGCTCTGCAATGTTGATGCGTGTCCACTTAATGATCAAGGCTAATGGAGTTTGATGGAGACAGATCCGGAGTAGGGCGTGCTCAGTTTCAATGTATTGGACTATGAGAGCAAGTGAATTCATACCTTTCATAAAAGTGAGCCTCAAATCATGAATGGCGTCGGAGATGACATCCAAACGATTTGCCGAAAGTAGCGGTAGTGAAAAGAAGTGGTAGATGAAAGGTGATCCAACAAGTTCAAACAAGGCATAATTCCTTGTCCCACGTGACACAAACGTACAAACCCCATCGCTATGCAATATTTTGAATTTGCGTACTAACTATCTCCTCATTTGGCCCACTCTTATTTTCCAACTCTCTATTCTAGGTCGCATGGGGTTTTCTAATACCAGGAGGTGGTAATAATTACCACTGAGGCAAATATCAACAGAGGTGTGTAAAGAATGAGCTGGACAAGTGCATATTTCTCCCATTCTAAAATGCGGTAAGAAGTCTTCTCACAGGGTGAGAATAGCTCCTTCAGCCCGCTGAATTACCAGTCCTGAATGTGTCTTAAGCAAGGGAAAACGAAAATATTGCCTTTGCAAGACGCCTTTCAGTGATATGGGGTGGTTGGATATCAGCTTTATCTGCTGTTTAGCCTTCAGCAAAGTGAAACGATCCACCAGAGAACAAAAGTCTTTGCAGTTCAACAAACAAAAACATTCACACTCATACCCATGGATGCAGACACAAGCTCCTAAAGCAAGTGCGGACTTTAGCAGAATAAGTAGTGCATGGCCTAGAAGAGAGGAGTGAGGCGTGAGCATAGGAATAGTTTTCCGTTCTAATTGGTCAATTACATCAGGATAGATGATGCGTGCCGATAAAATTCTCTATAGTTCCAAGGCCATCAAAAATCCATACACACAGAGAGGTGATATACGACCCTCCCGCCGCACTGTACCCCGCACTCCAAATTACGTATTCCGTACTCCGAGGGCACCCCAAGTTGCGGCAGTAGGGACTCAGCTCAAAGGTCTCTGTCTTCTCTCCTCCTCAATCTTCTGCATAGGAGAATAAAGGGGCATCAATGCGCACCAACCCTTCCTGTCCATACCTACACATGCGCAGTTCATAACACATTATATCCTTACAGGAAATTGAGGGTATTCCTCGAGGCCGGGCGGCATCATTAGGTGGTTCACCTCTATTGGTCAATTACTTTTGACTCAGTTCCTTCAGACACATTCAGTTTTAGCAACTTCAGCAAGTACCACTTATAAAATACTAAAAAAGTTCTGTAGCTTTGGAGTTTACTTCAAAGAGATTCGTAAAACAAATAAATTTGAGGGAAATCCATGAAGTTTCAGCTAAAAGCAGTAAGGAGTGTAGTAAATGATATATCCTATCGGTAGGCTGAATGCGTTACTTCCAATACCAAATTGCTCCACTTGAATAATTGCTATCTTTTTATCCCCTGTTAAATAAGAAGGAACGTCCCTCACCTTCATATCACTACCCATTAGAGCTTCAGGAACTTCTGTCGAAAAGCTAGACGAATGTCTAAGCTTTCCTTTTCTAACTTAAAAAAGGGTTATAAGAAATCTCATTTCCCAAACTTTTGTGCAAAAAAGTCCTTAAAAAAATTTACTTTACCCCATATCCCACTTACCAGACCAGTTGGAATGAGGATGGGCTTCGGGGCGTGACATTCAACCATTTCTCTGGGGGGTCTCGCCAAAAAAAAACTGAGGAATCCCCAGAAGGCGGTTTTATTCAACATACCTATATGTGGGTTTAAAAGGAAAAAAACGAAAAGGTTAAAGAACCACCTTCTCTTTGGCTCATAAGCGATTTCCTTTTACATTATAAAATAGGGTTAAATATCTCCGCGGGTTTGTAGCTTGAACAAAAATGAGTTAAGTTTGTTTCTTCTCTTCCTTTATGTCATTCCAAAATGCATAAATTTTTGAGGAATAAATCCTAAGAAACTGTATTAATGAAATGAAATTTTAAAACCTGGAAATAAAGGGACAAATGAATGCATACACATTCGCGCCACTCAATTTCGCGCGCTAGTTGTATACTACTGTTGATAAAATAGTAGAGGCTTATTTGAATGATTGGGCGAACCCACTGCACCCCCAAAGGACTGTGCAAGCTAAGTGGGTGTGGGTGATGTAGAGTGCAGATGAAGTTGTTCACTGGGAATGATTCACCTGATGAGGGCCAAATAGAAAACCAAACTGGGACCTGACTAATCGATATAATTCTAAGGTGCGTATGGGCAACATCTTCTTCTTCTTCAGAATCAGCAAGTCCCTTGTACGGCGCAGCGCAAAATTACACCCAGAAAGGCCACATAATGCATTTTAGGAGAAGAAGGGAGCTAGAGAGATGCAGACTCAGCCCCTCGTATCTCTACCGCGCATTTCCGGGTGAGGGTTAACATCATTTTCTCTTTTTTTGAACATCTTGAACCATCACGTGCAGTATGGACAAATAAAAGTAAACACCATCAACGCTGCATCTTTTACTGACTTACAGAGAAGGGATATTAAGTTTGGAGGTACCCCTTGTGGTTCATTTCCCTTTCTATCATTAATAAGAGCTTCTAGATCAATTTGACCCACTCCTAATTTCAAATTTATCCAACTTTTCTTTCAAAGGATAAGGTAAAAAGAATTTATTTGAGGTGAGAATTGATAAATATTCTTATTTAATTTAGAGTCAATGAAGTGAATTTGAGGAATTATACATATACTACCAATAACTGCATGTTTCCAAGTCTATTAAAGTAAGCATTTTTGATAAAGTAACTTTTAACATTTCCAATATTCCAAGTCGAGAAACTAGAATGGCCTTGTGGGTGAATTTGCCGTCGGCATTAAAAGAAGTGGGTGACTCTTTTAGGCTGTGCATGCACAACAATTCATTGGAGGTGCTGGCGTGCTACTAATAAGTTTTTAAGTAACATACGCATGTATGAACGTTTACCTTGTGTAAAATCGGATATTCCGGGCCCGTCTGTAGTACCGGCGGCAAAACTGTAACCCAGTGCTGGTTTGCACGTTCTTCTAGTGGGGGTGCCCTTCCAAAAGCAAATTGTGAATTAGCCAACTAAGAAGACAGAAGGAGCAACTCTGAAATGAAACAATCGGTAAGTGGACATAATTACACCAGTTCTTTAGTTTCCGTAATGTGGATTTCCCACCTGGCGGTAACCACAGCGTCTAGTAGCTAGTCAGTCCTTCTGTCAGTAAGATGGCCTTTACTTTGTTGTTTAGCTAAGATGCAAAATGGTATCGGCGCTTGATCGAACGGATAAGTGGTATAGCTGGGATTAGAGACCTCCAGAGCGACTTGATTGTGTCACGTCACCTGCGGAACCTTTTTTCCTTCCATTTTAAGAGGGACAAGAAATAACGCTCAGCCAAGTGTCCTTGAGACGCTACGCCCAGTTCGTGGCAAATTGGTCCAATTTGGAGGCTGATGGCAAAATTAGCAATACGAGCATTCTCGGGTCAAACGAACTTGGGACTTATTTGTTCCGTGATGACGTTTAATACCAGGCATAAAATTCTAGCTTTCTTGAGAATCCTTGCGTGGATTCTACCTTACTTCCAACACTCTTGTAAAACGCACTTCATTTTTCGTCTTCTTTTACCAGTGAAGATAAAAATAAACTTTTGTGGGGCAAACAGTTCCGTTTCAATTTTTTTCATGATTTTCTTCTTGATGATTTAATCTTTTGGTTTGTTTATCTTTACAAAGCTTAAAAAGGAAAAGAAGCCGTATGAAAGCTGATTTGTTAGGTGAGTGGCATGTGCGAAGGACGTTCAAATCAACCCGGTACCCTGTCTCTGGCTTCCCATTACCCGTGTCTAGAGCGCGTATCATGAGCCAATCTGGACACCGTTACCTAATTCGATGGATGACAGGAGAGTTGGAAGGGGATGTGAAACCCAAATCAACAGATATCTCCTAGTATAGAAGACTTCAAAGATAGTAGGGTGCTGAGACCGTGATGTATGCACTTTAAAGAGGTCGGGAACGACTTTGACAACAACGGTTCCCAGGTCACAGTTTCCATAATCTTTTCCACAAACATTCAACGTGAGCATAAAAAGTCCACTCAAGGTATGACCCGGCCCCAAAAAATTCACAAACATGAAAACGAGGAGCACAATCACTCACGCGGAGCTGCACCTCTGCCACTTTACCGCACACCGACCATTCCAAAAGGCTAGGTGGTCTAGAAGTCAAACTATTTTTCAAATGCACAAATGCCAAATGACTTCTTAAAATGCGTTCTTTGTCTTTTCCAAATTCCAAATGTATCGATTTTACTCAAAAATCGTGTAAAAGGCAGCAGAATAGGTGGTAACTCACTCCTTTTTCGGGTCCATAAGTGACATTGACATTAGTCATATCGACAAACTGATGGCGAAAATCCACGATCGCATCATTTTCGCCAATCAATTCTTGCTTCGCTTCGGCATACAGACGTTTGGCCATTTTAAATTGACGTTGGGCAATCAGCCTTGTGCTTTCAAACATATCTCCATTAGCGCCTGGTCCAAAAGCGATGCAGTTTTGAACCTATTCAACATGGAAATGCTCCCTTGAAATAGGCAAACAAATGACTAGATGGCGGGGGAATAGTAGGTCTTAGGGCTTTAAAATATCGGCTTCTACTATCTACTACTAGTTTGGACTATTGTTGCGGACAAATCCTTCAGGTAGATATAATTCAAGCTTGCCTACCTCAGGAAGGTTAAAAAAAATATGGAAAGGATTTACGTACTCGACACTTATTGAAAGAAACCTATTAGAAGTGACTCTTGGAAGTTCAAGTACATCACAACGAGTCAGTAAAGAAGGCCGAAATATCTTGTCGTAAAGCCAAAAATTTGACAATTCTCACTCTCCCATCACCACAGGCGTTAGTCAGAGGATCACAGGGTGCCCCAGAATCAATGCATCTTGCCCCCTGCGTGTTCGGTGAGACATCACCCTCATTGGCTTGAGCAAATGCGGCCACAAAATTCCCTCCCTTCATACCATTACCAGTGTTGGCATCATTTATCCATCGTTCAAAGAGCAATTCGGCCAAGCCCTTGTTGTCACTACTGACAAGACGGTTTGTTTTGTTCATACTGGTGCAGTGCACTGCGAACCAATTGAGAATTCCCAGTTCTCGACCATCTTTGGCGACAAATTTTAGGAGCAGCATTCTCTGATCGACGTCGTGAGAGTAGCTGATGGGCGAAATCATAAAGAGGCGTTATCGCTTATCCGACTGACGTGAGCAATCAGCCTATTCAGTGATAAATTTTGAAATTTGTGCAGTCCGGTTGCCATAATTTTTGGTTTCAAAGTGCGAAACCTCCGATTCGGCTGATGGAAAGAAGGCGAAAACTTAAGCGCTTATTGTATGCAGAAATGGAGAATTCATCAACAGGGGGATGGATGGATACGGATATCCTTTTCAAACAACGATTTCATTTATTCCAAGACCTCTTCCTAATACACTCTCCCTCAAATGGTTACAATCGTTTAGTGGACATTAAGTCTACCGAAATTCCTTTGTGAGTGACCTCTGATTGTTGGGGATTGCAGCATAGATTCCACAGTCCTACCTTATTCAACCACCAATCAAATTCTGAAGAGGCTTTGGTGAGTTCCAAAGGCAAATAAAACCATCAAAACGATTAAGTGAATTTGCAACCTACAGTTTACGTTCTTTGGCCGGATTTTGTTGATAGGAGAGGGGACTGCGATTGATACTGGCATTGGAGAGGTCGCCAGAAGCATACAAAATTCGGCCTGGTGTCAGTGATTGGTTAGCCAACTTCACACTCTAAAAATGGACGAAACGTCAAGAGTTAGTTCCTTAATTAGGTGAGTTTTAACAACTGCGTACTTCTACCCGACCTATTCTGCAAGATTTTGTGGATCATCAACTTTTAAACACTTATTGCAGCCGATGACGCAAAACCATGACCTCAGGGTGCAAAAAAGCAGTCGTGCGTGAACGGGGGACGAAAGTAACGCAGTGTCGAAAATGTAAACGAAGATGGAAGTTAATGGCGCCACCATCAACTAGAGATTTGCCTAAATTTATGGACCACCATATACAGGGAAAGTAGCAGTATCACCTGTCAATGAGGATAAAGTGATCTCCCGACAGTCACACGATTCATTGCTAAATCACAGTAGAATGTAAGAAAGAAAAAAGGGATCACAAAATAAGCCCAAACGGCAATCATTTGGACGAAAAAGACGTTTGCACGTGCCTTGAAAACACCCAATCCTTCGTGACCTCAATCCAGCGTACAGAGGTGAAAGGTTCCCCCTAGAATAGAAAATCTGTTCACTTTTTTTGATCAGCCAGAAGTATGGGTATGGCGTGTTTCTCTCCACCTATACCATCGAAATTTGGCATAGTTGAGGAAATTTTTTTGAGGTGGTTTGCCAAAACAACACCTAGAACCGAGAGGGGCTGATAACCATCAGCTGGGGAAGGGCCACTAGAGGGATGGAGAGGATAAGGCAGCATATCCCTCCACCCCTTCTATCCTAAATTGTAGCTATAGGATTCTATGTTCCACCTTACTCACAAGCTCTTACTATTTCCAAAACGGAGAAAGGTATTTCTAGAACAAATTTCCTCGTCTGTTGTCCGCAAAGCACTCACAACTAAAGCGTAGTCTTCTAGGAATAACCCTCAGTCCAGTTCGGTCTGGTAGTTAGTCAGTCAGCCAGACAGCAAACAATCTACTAACGAAACATGTGATCCTTCGCACATGGATGGAAGCCCACTGAGGTGCAATATGTTCCGGTTCCACTTAAGTAATTGGTAATGTGCCGAAAGAAGTAATTACTAAATTTATCCAAAACAAGTAAATACACAAACAAGGGATTCTGCTGAACAAATGCCTTCACCAAATGCTGACAGAAAAAGTCACTCAGCCCTTCCTCTTAAATCCGTCTAGGTAATACACGTTTTTCGCAGCACTCCAGTCTACCCAGGAAATCCCTGTTCTTTTGAAGGGATAAAAAAGGGTAGACTGGGCGTTCTTCAAAAGCCTTTTAGTGATAATATCACTGAAGGAGAGTCTTTCTTCATGGATTCAGAGTGACAGTCCTTACTCCCCAACAGCATTTGAAAGATAGGCAAAAAGATAACCTCAGACGGAGCGCTGAAGAAGTACAAATATTGCACAATAGTAACGAAGCACAATATGACTGCTTCGGCGCCACGCCCATCGTAGCAGTGGCTCGTGACAGTGTGGATGACTAGCAAGATCTGGGTTAGGACGTTGACAAGGTGCTCTTTGATGTGCTTTGCCATATTTTACTTCACCCTTATAGTTTTAAGTTCTGGTTCAATTAACCCCGTAGAAGTGATTTGGGTTTGTTTCTGCTCAACGAGGCAAGGCACGGAAAGTCCGCGTTAACACTGATTGTATAGGATTTGGAGGAGACGCGACATGGGGAACTGGTAGGGTATCACCCAAAAATACCTTAAGTAAAGAAGGAGACTCCGATGACGAGGTACTCAGACATGCCAAACACAGAAGCACCCTCTGAGCCTGCAATGAGTTAAGAGCTTGCGCACGAGAAGACCTCATGCAACACTTGAGGATGGGAAGACAGAGAGTTAGGGGGGATACATATTTACTCTCATTCGCCTCCTCCACTTTCCCCAATTATGTTTCCTCAAGTGACGGCTTGTCACCCTCTCTTGAAATTGGATAACAACATGCAAAATAAATTAATCACTTAAGGCATTAAAAAAGAAATAGAGGGTGATTTTTTATGGAAGCAAAGTGTACTAAAGGAAAAAAGTGGCATTCGTAAGTGCCTGCCTCGTCGTAAAAAAAACACTATTTAGCAAAAGCGATTAAATTTAAAAGCAAATAATTTTATGAAACAGAAGTTAATATCCAATAGATCAGAAAAAACTTCGTCTTTCTCATCTACCTGGATCAAAAAAAAGAAATGCCTAACTTTCAAATCCACCTTAACTATCGAATGCAAGATGGCCTTGTAACTTAGAGATGAAATAAATTGGCAAAAACACTATCACCCTTCCTAAAAATGTCACCTACCAGAAGGTTACACAGGCAACAACTACCATTGAATAAAAAACATTTTGACTTGAGTAACTGTATTCCAAAGTCGATGTCAAACCATCCAACTTCCCCTACTCTCTCACCCACCTCTCCCAAAAAAGAGATTTTTATTTAGTTCGGATAATTGCTGGTAGGATCTCTAAAGAAAGCCTAATTCAGGAGCAACAAAAAACAACTTACTGTGTAAGGATGCTTAAAGAGGTTTTTGCTGGATTATTGATTAAGCTACAAGTTATCTGAAATAAATTCCGTTTTTTACAACAAGGTAATCAAATGAGCTCCTGCCTTTTTTTTCTTGCAATTGAATAAAGCCCCTTCAAGTAATCACCCTTTTACATGAATGCCCAAAGCCAAGACAGGATCGGTGGATGCGAAGGATGAAGTGAGGCATTATCTCATTCCTTCCTCTGATATGCAAATCTTCTTACCAGTAAGCCACTAATAGCGACAAGACATTCTCTATTCACCACCAAAAACAGATCCATAATTCAGTAATGAAAGTGGCTACAACTGCTGAAATCGTCTTCTGGTACACAGAAGAAATGTTACAAAAAGCTTCTACTGCTTCAGCACCGAGTTAAACTCAATTCATAAGGCAGATGCATTCAAATCACTTCCACTAAATTCAACCAATGTTGCATGAAAAGCGTGTCCAAGGTAGGAGGAAAAGTGTACAAAGCGCACACACACAAAACAGCATCACATTGTTCACGCACAGGATTTATAGCATGCAGTTATCAAGATCCCACAAGCCCCACATTTTCAATGTACCAAACTATACAGATCACTTGATTCGGAGATTAGTTTTTGGCAATTTTTGGGTGATTTTCATAGACATACTGAAATTAGGTACCAAGTTACACTTGGGCGAGTTGTGACATTACTTAGTAAGTCAATTTTACCTGAAAAACAGTTACGATGTCAGTAAAGTACTGACAGCAGAGAGTCGCGTCGACCAGACATTAAAAAGGTAGCAAGGTGAGCTAAATTACGCTTTGGTAAACTTAGAAATGTTGAGTTATCTTGATAAATGAGGAGAAGAGAAAGCATTTTTTTAGAAAAAAATAACGTAAATCCCAACTCCTTTACTAATGTATGGACACTTAATCCTAATGTGCAATTTAAAAATCGACATGAAGCCGACTTTTAATACCCTCCTTTAACAAACTGATTCCTGGAACTTATTGATCAATCTATGGTACCTGAAGAATGCCTGAGGCCATAGCTTCAAAAGTGGGTTTAGAGAATCCATAAGAGGTGGCATCAAAGAGTAGATATTGAAAGAATCCACCGGGACCGGAATGTGTGTGTGTGGCTGAGATCATGACGTTCTGGTGATCAAATACGCTGGCACCAAAGGACGCCTGTAGCAGGCGGACCACATGGCTCTTCAACAACTGTGAGGGCATTCCAACATCTAAGTTAATGAAGAGAATTGGTCGGGTAGCAGAGGTGGACTTGATCAAAAAAGCACGACTGTAGAGGCGTAAATGGAGGCCTTGTCCAGTTTGAGAGGGTTCCCCATACCCCATCTGCAAGGATATTTGAATTGAGATTCAAAATCTTGCACTTACAAGGATAGCAAAAAAGGAGATAAAATATGCAAAAAAGAGAAGCTCAGTATTTTACAATGAACATCAGAATAACCTAGGACACGATAAAGCAAGGTATTTTTCAATGCGACCGTGCAGTAATACAGAGCCAAGCATTAAGAAGAAATAGAGCTCAAAAGTGCCATTGTTCTATTAAAATTTGGGGATTTGGACTCTTAATGTTACTTCGAATTGATACAGAAGGTAAATTAACTTACGAAGTTAACATTGACTACAGGACCAGTAATATCATATTTCCCAAGTCCAATAAGCAGACCAGAAGGTATTTGAAAGAAAACTTGTATAAAAATAAAAAAGAGGAGAGAAGACTTTGGTTTCATTTGCAGCCCAGGTAATAGGCGCGAGACCAAAAAGAGCGCCAGAATAGATAAATTATAAAACGATGGAATTGGTGCATTATAACAACTCATGTCACAAAGGAATAAACGTTTTTAACTCAGCAAAAAAATGGTTTTACAATTTGTTGGCTGACGTGTCTTATATG